GGGGCCGGGCTGCCTGCCTGCTGCGGGGGCACGCGCGCACCGCACGGGACACACACGGCCAGCTCCCATTACACACACATAGCCACAGGGCGAGACCCCCACTACCTACACACACACACACACACACAAAACCCACAGGGCAAGCCCCATTACACATACATGCACGCATGCACACACACACGGCCAGCCCCCTATACACACACATCCACACGCACACATACACAGGGCAAGACCCCCATTACCTACACACACACACACACACACACACACACACACAACCCACAGGGCAAGCCCCCATTACATACATATACATATATAGGGCAAGCCCCATTACGCACACATGCACACACAGCAAGCCTCCATTACCTACACACACACACACACACACGGCAAGCCCCCATTACACACACACACACATACACACACACACACACACACAAACGGCAAGAGCCCATTACCTACACACACAACGCACAGAGCAAGCCCCCATTACACACACACACACACATATAGGGCAAGCCCCATTACACACACATGCACACACACACACACACACACACACAGAGCAAGCCTCATTACCTACACACACACATGGCAAGCCCCCATTACACACACATCCACACATGACACACAGGGCAAGCCCCCATTACACATGTACACACACACACAACCCACAGGGCAAGTCCTCATTACCTACACACATACACACACAAGGCCCCTGGCATAATGCGGACACATCCTGGCAGGGCTCTGTGGTGCAAAGCAACCCCAGGCATGGAGACATGAGTCTATGCAGGTGGCTGAAGAGACATCGGGGCTCTGACCCTGCACACAGTGAGCCCCTGAAGAAGGGGGTCATTTGGCCCCCCTTTGAGTCAATAATAATATCAACCCTCCCATTTAGTTCCCTGCGCTCAGGACTTACCTCACTGAATCAACAGGAGATGCAGGGTGGGTCACACTGCAGGCTTAGGGTCTTAATTTTGCTGAAGGAAGAGGAATAGGAGTAGAATTTGGTTTCGTTTAGGTTTAATTACACACCCCTCCCACCCATTACCAATGGTGCTGTTGCTGTGTGCTTTTAAATGTAAAACCCCTTTCATTGTCATCATCATTATTATGAGAATAATGATTCCCTATCCCTTCCCCCCCCCTCCACACACACAATTCATCTTTCTTCACACTTTTTTTTTTTTTGGAGCTATGCTGAAAATTAGCTCTCCTGTCCAAATCATTACCTCATCCTTGTCTAATGCACAATTTGATACTGTTTATATATGGAAAGCCAATTAACAACCCCTTGGCCCCAACTGGTTTTAATAGATTATTTATGCAGGACCACAGGTGTTACAAGAAAATAATAGGCCAGGCCCCTTATGAGGTCTTGCTCCACTGAAGTTAATGGCAAACTCCCAAGAACATGTAGGTGCAAGACCAGGTAATAAATTAGGTCCAGATTCTGTAAAGCTATATGTCTACATAAAAGCTTATAGGTTGGAGATCTTAATTCAAAAGCACAACAACGCAAATAGAATATTATGAGTGAAAAGAGATTAAGGAAACAAAGAAGAAAACCCCAAATACTTCAGGCCTGGCCCAACTTCTCTTAAAGTCAATAGAATGATTCCTGTTGATTGCAATGACAAATGGATTAAGTCCTGGGTAGGAAATACAGCTGTTTTGGAGAGGCACATTTTTTTACACAGATGAAGGATCATACAAATATTTTGCATATATTTTTAGATAATTAAATTTGATATTTTAAACTTTTCAAAATTAGTTTTAAAGTCCTTTGTTGGCCTAATTTTCTTCCAACTGAAGATATACGCCTTTTCGAATCACTGCCCAATTGTCATGCAAATAGCTCTGTTCACACCATAATGTATATTTAAACAAAATACACTTTCTATGCAGAAAATAAATCTTACTTATTTTAACAACTTTAGGAGATGAAATTATAAGAAGCTGAATATTGTCAGCAAAACAGTTAAAAGAGTATCTAGATACAAAATGATTAGGTATGGAGACTCTAGCTTTCACCTTCCTGATTGAATGTCATACCATTGCCTGAGATAAATAACAATTTTATGGCCCGATTCTGCAAGTCTTTCCTCACATGAGTGGTTCCATTAAAGTGTATTTTGGTATGCATAAATAAATATATAAACACTTGCATTAGTTAAAATTTACAGTTTGCGCTCTTTGTCACAATTGACCTAGGTCATATTTGAAACAGTAATCTAAAGTACAAATGAAAAGCTCTCTATCTTATTGCTAATTACCTGAGTCATCCAGTTCCAAGAAAGATAGTCATAAGTACAATAACACTCCTTCTCACCTTATATCACCATTTACATTTCTGTTGCTCATTTTATGGATGAACTGAACTTAGTTCCATCAGTCAATATCATGGCATATATCTGAGGGCCTTACATGGCACATAATGCATACATATATGTATTGAAAGCAAAGGGTGTCTTTACACATGCTTGGGGGTGGAGGGGGCAGGTCGCTTTAATTAAAGCAGCTTTTAGGAACCGCTCTAATTAAAGCACCTGCAGCATCTTGTGTATTCAGTGTCCCATGCTTCAAAATGGTGGAAGAAGCGCTTTAACTAAAACTTGTTGGACGCTTGGTTTAGTTAAAGCTCCCCTGCCACCATTTTGAAATGTAGGGAAGCTGAATACACAGGACGCCGAGGCTGCTGGAGTGTGATAATTGAGCGATTAATTGAGTCTGCTTCGATACGTTTTAATTAGAATGCGTCAGAGCAGGCATCGGGCACCTGTATAGGTGCTCAAAGTCCCTGATTATGCAATACATTCTGCATGGTAGATTCTTCAGCATAAGATGAGCATCACTGAAGCCAGTAGGGTTCTCCATAGGTATAAGGGTCTGTCTGTGTGGAGCTTATTGCAGGATAATGGCCACAACCTGTAAGTCTGCAGAAAGTAAGGTTAAAAACAGAACAAATAGTGAGGAATAACTGAATTTTAAGATTTTGGAATGTTTTAGGTGATTGGACCAGCAGATGGCAAATATGACTCAGTGTAAACAAATGCCACAGTAGTGTGGGAAAAATAAAATCTAAGAAATATATCCTAACTGAAAATATTATTCAAGAGAATGAAGTGGAAAGAAATTAAGGACCAGTATGAAAATACCGTTGGACCAAAGGCTGCATTCATTAACTCTGTTGTATTTAATAGCTGAATTCAGAAGGTAACTCAATTAAAATCATCAGCCTACTGTCCAGCAGCAATAAAAAATCTAAACAAGGTATTCAGTTGTATGAATTAATAGAATTTAAAATACCCATTATAAGAACTGGAAAGCCAAGATAATAAGCAATTTGGGCAGAACTGCTTAATGGAAGGGTTAAACATGTATGAGTTATTAGTGCAACTGAAGCAAAAAAATTAAGACACCATCTGGTCTTTTTCTAGACATGAAGTGGGTAGTGGATGATAGTGAAGAAACAGAGTGTTGGGATTAAGTTGAATCAAAATGGATAAGTATTTTGGACCAGATCATCTCCACTATTCCTCACATGTTTTATGTTCTTAATAACTGATGGTATAAGGACAACATTGTGAATAGTATTGAAAATAACATACACCACAAATAGATTAGACTTAAAAATGCAGAAATACATCTTTGTTATATACAGTTACAGATGAGGATAATTTGTAAAGCAGCCAAAAGATCTTTCAAGATGTATGATGCTTTTAGAATAATTTGATTCCATACCACAACAAAATTTTGATTATGTGATTTTAGAATTTAGACAGGCAATCTCAGTTATGTCCACTGGAGTAGAGTCTGAGAAACATTATACCTCTCATTTCAAAATTCCTGAGAAGCAGAAATGTATGTCCTAGTTTCTATTTGCCAAAAAAAGAGTGCAGTTAGTATAACCAGAAACTCCTTAATGTACTTGTCATTCCAAAGTACTGGATGTTTTAGGGGTATTTTTTATTATCATTAATTGTTTTTACAGTCACCATTTCTCAATGTGCAGGTTTCCAAATGGGATTCACAGAGCCTTGCTGGAGGGCATCGACCTCTTTATAGATTAAATCAATGGGAATTGAGGGTGGTCAGCAACTCAGCATCTTGAAGGATCCAGATCCTTAGCAGAGTTAAATATGGAAAGAGATTTTTAAAAAGCCAGCAGAGATCCGCCTAGGCCTAGATAGTCCATAGAATTAGTGTGGTTAAGACTTAATGGGCATATATATCTACACGTGCCCCCGACTGTGCAGTTGTTACTGCTCAGTCATTTAGTACTTGCTTTAGTATTGCTCAGTCATTTAGTAGTTGCTTTAGTAGTTACTGTGCTGTGCTGTGTTACTGCACAGTCCTGGTGGCACACAGGTTGTTTCTGACCCTACTGCACAGTAGAAATGAGCTACCATGCAGTAGCTCATTGCTACCTTGTAGTGGCGTTGGTGGGTACGGTGACATAGAGTCTTGTGTAGACACGCCCAATG